AAAATGGAGAGGAGAATACAGAAGTCAAAGAATTTCTGGGCGGTCTGACTATGCTCAAAATTTCTGCGAAAGATAATTTCTTTTCCAGCTTCTTTAAACTGCCAGAATGTATACCAATTGACATTAGAGTTTGCCTCAAAAAGCGTTATCCCCATTCTAAAGTCGAAAAGAAAGGTTCACTTAAATTCTTCTTACAAAAATGTGGTCTTGATGCTAAAGCTGACATGCTATACGATAAAATGTGAAAAATCTATTCAGAGGCAAAAAAGCCCCTTCTCATTAACTGCGAGAAAAATGCAAAAAGTAACATATTACTATATTATAGATGCACTGCGTTGCCAAGAGCTTTTGGTAAAGCTAAGTAAAATAAATGAATACAGAGAAGTCGCTTCTATAGCTTATGTATCTTTATTCGACATACACTATCGTGCAAATGGAATGAAGGTATGAAACCTTCTTGGCACTTATGCTTTTAAACGTGATATGTTATTTAGTGCAAGGATACCTGAAAAGCTAGAAAAGGGTAAGTATCCCAGTGCATATGTTTTTTCACCTAAAAAAGGTATTGAGACGAAAAGGCTGATAACGGGTTTAGATTTTGCATTTTTATATCTAAGCCTTATTATAGCCTATAACCTCTCTCCAAAAAAATTTATATTTGATTCAAAGGATGCTGATATTGCACAAAGTAATGGAAACACTTTACACAAAATTAGCTTTCTATTCAATAAGCGCACTATTCAAGCTTGGTGCATAAGACATAATAATTGATCTGAGAAGAAAGGGTTATACCCGATCATATTAGAGGAATTATTTGCGATGAGACTAGAACTTAAAGCACAACTTGCCTCATTAGGAAAGAAGAAGGTTCAACTTGAAAAGATAATAAGTTCAGTGAAAGAAAAGGATAAAAGAATCCCTGAGAAGTTAGATTTAGAATATAAAACTCTTTACTTCGAACATGACTGCTTGGATTCAAAGCAGAAAGCTATCAAGCTATTTATGAATATCTTTTATGAAGAGGCTGGAAACCCATTATCTTTAATCTTTCTCTGTGTATTGGCCAGAGGAATCACTTCTGCTGGCAAATACATTATCAAACTTGTTGCAGAATATGTGGAAAAGAAAGGCTTTGGAATCAAATATGAGAATACTGATTCTTTGTATCTTATCTGTCCAGATAAGTATTTTGAAAAATGCGATGAAGCCTTTTTCAGAGGTGAACTTTCTAAAGAAGCATACTGGACCGAAATGGTCAAAATTACTATGGATGTAATAAAAAAGTTGCGCGATCAGATTAATGCCTATCTTAGGATAAAAACTGGCACATCTTATCTTAAGATAGCTTATGAAAAGGTATTATTTCCTGTATGTTTCGCTGGTAAAAAGAAGTACTTTGGGATTGGGCATGAAGATAAAGTAAACTTTAGACTAGATGATTTCTTTATGAAAGGAATTGATACTGTGAAGTAGAGGAATTCTGAGCTCTTCAGGTTTATCAGAGAAAAGATTATGTAAAGACTATGGATATCGATAACACACGTCTAATTCAAGAAATTATTAAAGATGTTCTCTGAGATGCTAAATTTAGGCAGTAGGATTATAACCAGTTTATTGCAATGTTCAAATAGAAGGCCAAAGGAGGTCTCCTATGCAATAAAATCTTTATGGAACGGATGAGAAAAAGAATAGCAAATGGAGAAAAAAATATAAAGATCCCTGATTCTAGTGAGCACTTTAGTTATGTTGTAGTGAACGATAATCTTCGCTATAAAGAAGATGGCACAAAATCGACAAGAAAGGGTGATTATATGAAGTTCGTAAATATTATGAAAGAGTTTAATATGGAGATAGATGTCAGCTACTATTTAGAACAAACGGTAGGAATGTACGCACGCTTTATTTATGAAGATGATATATTTTAACTACCGCTATCAAATAAAATTATGCAAATTAAGGATACGGATGAAAGGGAAAAACAGATTGATGATTATTCCCAAAGGAAGGCAAAAAACTGGCTTAAAAAATATATAAAAGGTTTACAATAAACTTTCTAGGTGCTCTTAGTGAGGTCTGGCAATTCCAGCTAAAAAAACTTAGTCTTAAGGCACTTCGTATAATATTATATATATATATATTTTTTTTCTCCTGCAATAATGCCAGCTAACTTCAATTCCTATATTTAATCTGATCACGAGATAACCTCTTTCAGCCTTTGATCATATAGCCTGACTTTGGATATACCTAGAAATGATTGAGATAATCATTAGTATTTTAAATTTGACAAAATACTCTGTTAACATTGTTAACGATCAGCTGAAAAATCTTCATATTTTAAATATAAGCTTTATTGATATAATGGCCGAACTACAGGAAAAGTTTCTCAATATATAGGCTTTAAACCCAATGAAATCCGTTCCCTAATCACGGAAGAGGATAGACAGAAATTTCATAAAATAATAGCGGATCAGGAGAAAATAACAGATATTGTAATGGATGACTATCGATTTTTACTACAGCATGGGCATAATGGTAAGGAAGGTGACCGAATCCATATTGGTTAGTTATTAGCATGTACAGTATCCTAAGCAGAAAAAGTCTTAATAAATCCACCTGAAAATTTATCAGAAAAGCTATTAGCTTACGCCAAGAAAAGATTCGAAGACGTCTTATTTGCGCCAGTACTTATATGGTAGTCAATTAGGATTTGAGATAATAAAAACTTTTTCTTGTTTTTTCAAGACCGCACGATCCTAGAAATTTCTCATAGGTAAGATATCGCTCAGTTTTTTTCCATGTATTCTATAGTTTTTTCACAACAATGATCAATATAATTATGATTAATAGAAAGAGTATTATTGAATAGGTAAGTAAAGATGAGAAAAATTCGTCAGAAGGGCCTGATAGTTTTACCATTCCTTCTACGTTACCTACTGAAATCTCGTTTGCTGAAGTGATGGGTAAGAGGTTAGATTTTGAATCTACACTACTTGGATCACCCTCGCCTTGAAAAGGCCTATCCAGGATGCCTACAACTGAAGAAGTGCTAGAGGGTCTCAAAAAGACCGAGTCTTCTAGCTCATCATTTTTTCTGCCATACGAATCTGACTGACTATTCTTACTAGAGTATCCTAGAGCTAATAAATTAATCATAGATCGAAGCAATTTCACTTCCTCTAATTTTGCAAAGTTATCAGCCTTGGATTTGGCAAGAGATATTTTTGTACAAGCATTCTGGAAAATAAGTTTGGAATTTTTAACCTTCAATCGCCTGAACTCATCATTGAGCTTCATGTATTCGCTCTGCAATTTAGCATTATAGTCTCGTATCTTAGATGAGTTTTGCAAAATGTGGTATATCTCTTTTCAAGATCATATGTTCCCATTTATTTACATTGGCCATAAACATGTAAAAAAAACTTTCATATTTTTTGTTAGAGAACAATTGCGATAAATAAAGAATGAATAGGAAGGCTATCGATCGTTTTTTATTATTATTTTAGATAGCATATTAGAATGTATTCTACCCATTTAAAGCAATAAATTATGATTTCTAGCGTTCTCTCTTATCCTAAAATAATAAATATTGAATTCTAATATTTATTATCCATCTAAAACGATAAATAATAATGCTTAATATTTTTTATGCATCTAAATACATTGTCTAAAAATATCGGAGGAGTATGTCTACCTCAATTTTGAAAACTTATTATCGGTGAAGTGCCACAGTCTTGACTTTTGAGCAGATTGAAGAAATTAGACATCTTAAAAATAAAGTTCTAGCATATATGATAGTAAAGGAGTACTATATTAATAAAAATCGTATTCATGATATATGGAATGATTGTGAGCATTTTCAGCAAAATGAAAACCACTTTCTCGAGAAGCTTAAAAAGATACAATCCATCTCATCAGTCCCTCCTTCAGAAAATAATCTGCAAGAAAAAGAAAATAATCATCCAATTTCAGGATCTTTAGATCCATTTCATGAGTCTATTGAGATAAATGTGCAAGAAAAGCAAAAAAAGAAAAAGAAACTACTGAAGCGGTCCCTTCAGGACCAGCCTAAATCCATTTGAAGTTCTGACTTACTTAAGATTTCGACCAGGGTCTTTATCAAAACTCTGCCCCAGACATCTTGCATGACATATTTGCTTCAATCGAAAAAGATCATATAGAATCAGAGGAAGCTATACGCGAATCAGAAAAGCTCCTAGCTTTCAACCCACCCTTTCATTATATTCAGACAAAAAATGCTTCACAGGGTTTTCACTGAGACCATTCGCTAAGCTAAAGTGTATAGTTAGCGAGAAGAAAGGGATCAAAGATTTTTATTAATCTCAATTAATTTAGCTTTGAAAATGAGAGTGTTATATAGCATTTTTTTCAAGTTCCTCATAATTCACTTTTTTTTTAATGTCTCATCTGCATCCAACTCCTGTGAAATATAGTCCAGAACTGGCAGATCATTGTTAGCTAAGCTAACTGCGCAATTCACCTCAAGTTTATTCTTGACCTTATGCATAATAACTAGGATAATATAGTCCTTTCCATTGAGAGGGATCTTTAGCTCATTTGTATTCCAGTCCACTGCGCATCCATATTTCTTTAAGAGTTGATTAGAGAATATTAGCGTTAGCTTGTGATAGTCTACAATCATAAAATCTTCATGAATGGTGTATCTAGAAGCTAAAGTAATAGGCAGATTGCGAACAATACTAATAGATTCAATCAGAACAGTAGCTACACCGCTAAGGTTATGTTTTTCAGATTTATCTATTTTCTCCTTAATACGATCAACAATATTTTTTATTATAATTAGAGGTTCAGCTCCAGAGTCAAGAGTTATAGCTGGAATCTTTAAGCGCCTGATTTTTTACTTTACAGTCGCAACACTAGTTTTTGGCTCCTTCTTCTGAACGAAATAGATTTCCATAGAATTGTCTAAAGACTCTTCTTCTAAACTGGACTCATCCAAATCTTTGGAAGATGATGAGACATCATTTTGAGATACTATCTTTTCTACCACTATCTGTTTGGACGCAATGAGACCGAAATCTTAGAAAAAATGTAAGGAAAAATTAATCTAAGCTCACCATGAAGGACTTTACGAATAGTTTCCTCTAGTGGTATTTTAGATATTTCTTTAGAGGATGTTTTCTTGGATGATTTCTTGCCTTGAATGCCTTCGGCTGAAATCGATTCACCTCCCATATTCACTTTTTTTTGACTTAGCTATATGAACATTAAGATCACTATCAGAATCAGAAGAATCAGAGGAACTTATATCAAAGTCGGAACTATCGCTAGATGAAGTATTGTCTGAAGAAGAATCTGAATCTGGTTCTATAGCGAGATTGACCTTACCTTTCTTCAACTTCTTGCTTTTCTTTTTCTTCTTTCGAGGGCACTTACGGGAAGTGTGTCCAAATCTACCACACTTGGTACATTTCTTAACAGCACTTCTAATGGCAGATTTGATAGCATTTATTGTGACACTATTTAGTGTCATGCCGGCCATACTGTCAGTAATATCATCTATAGGGTCATAATTATAATCATCTTCAGGTTGCTTATTTGATTTTGTCCTTAGTAGCTCACTTAAAAATCATCTAATAGTAAGGTCTTCCCCTCTCTTATTAGCTGATTTTTTACTATTATCTAGAGTCTTAGTCGCTCGAGACATAGTCTTCTGCAATGATTTAATAGAAGATTGTAAATCAGTATTTTATTGGGACTGTGAGAAGGCCATTGTGGTTTTTATCAAGTCCTTGATTTCATTTTTAGTCATTTCACCTCCTGATCTATTAGTATCTACATAAGGGTTAGACGCTGGAAAAATTAGAATAGATAGTGTAAATTTTTCTGCTTCAGCTAAGGCTTCTACAATATTGTCATACATATCATGAAACTTAGCTATCATTCAAAGATTATACTAGTTCATAGGACTTAAGCTATGAATTAATTGCTTTCTTTGTTGTTCAGGAGTCATTTCAGCTAATTTACCAATCTTCTTAACTCAGGCAGAAAACTCTTCAATACCCATATCTCCTTACATAAGTTGACCAAAAACTACCATCTGTTTTAAGTATTCGACGGTTATATAGGCAGTTTTGAGTAAGTATATATGTTGGCCAAGTGTAATGTTAGGCGTTATTGTAACAGCAGATAAACCACCACTAACATTAGGTGCTACTGGTGCATTATTTACAGGTTCACCACCAGCTATAGATCAGTCTTCATCCCATGTTCCATTTAGAATAATATCAGCACCAGTTGCGATCCCTGCTCTAATTCTACCAATTTCAGCGGCCGCCTTACCTTGAAATTCTTCTGTAGTATTCAATTCACCAACCTGGCCACCTCTATTTCTGGCAGCCAAAGTTCTAACAGCAGTTAAAGTAGTTACACCTAAATTATCTGAGATATTACTACATCTCCAATTCTTGCCTCTGATGCGATTTTTATACCATTGCTTAGCGGGTCTTTCAAGACAAGATATTAATAAACCTAAAGCCTCTGCTCTTCTGATAGCCTGACCTGCTCCAGGAGCTACATTTATTCGACTAGCTATTACATATCTCTGAAAATCTCTAAGAAAATCTTTTGGATCTTCTCCAGGACATCCATAAAATATTGGGAATCTGTATTCTACCATTCCTATTTGTTGTATATTTGGTGGATTATTCTATAATGCAAATATTTGTCTTTGCAAATTTAAAATATCCTGTCATTCTGCTCAAGTTTTATTTTTTCATTTCTCATATTGCTCATAGAATCTGTCCTGATTATACTCTAATAAACCTATATCCTCTCTACTTCGTTATAGGTAGTAGGCATTTCGCTGATACAGCAATCGTAAGGCAAAGTTTTCTTGTACCAATGCATCTATATAGGCCTGCTTTCTTGTCGTATTATTTATCATTCTATTTACTTGACTTTAGGCATTAGCCCGCAACTGCTGAAGATTACCAACAACCCTATCCATTGCTCCTTCAGCAAGTTGCCTTCTAATAATTTCATTATCACGTTCAGCTTCTGCATCATAACGCCTTCTCTACTTACAGACTAAATCCTGATGCAAATTATTCTCTTTTCAATGAATTTGTCTTATTGCCCTCTTTATTTGACTTATCAGAATATTTCTAGCTGTCATCCTATTATCCACAAATCTATCTATGGTATTTGCTAGCTCTGTTATTGTGGCCATTTCTAAATTGATATTAGGATTATACAAGTCTGGAGAATTTTCTCATTCTGGAGTATTCTTTCATAATGAGATAGCCTTGATCTGGCATCTCAATTTCTCCACCTGCTCTTCTTATTCTACCAACTGCTTTTCTAAGGTAGAAATATAGTTATCCTTATCTCATATATCTTTCCTAGCTTGATATAGTTGGCTTTTCAGGTTAAAGATTTTGAACTTCAGTTCCAATATCTCCTCTTCTGAAGCATTTTAAGCTGTTCTATCTTCCCATTAAGGTCTTGGATTTTTTATACATAACGATCATAATCACGTTCCAGATCTCTAATCTGTTTCTCATTTCGACGATTAGTATCAACTTCTGTCTGCAATTTACTATGAAGATGATAGTTCTCTTCCTCCAACTCAGCTTTATGTTCTTCACACGTTTTTCTTTGCCTTAGATAAGGCCTTTAAAATGCCATTCTTTTTTGTGATTATAAAAGAGAATTGGAATAAGGATTCTTGAAAAACCAGGCCAGCTCCAAATTTTGATAGACCCTGATAAGGTTCGGAGAATTGAAAAAAATATTATATTGCGTGAAATATATTATCGCCCGACTGGCTATCATTTCAACCCTAAATCTTTGAAAGATGCATGTAAAAAAGAGGGGCACTGATTCTGCCTAAGTGAATGCAAAGATTTTTTAGAAAATCAAGAGTCATACTAAACTAATAAAATCTCTTCAAAATACATCATTAGAGTCAGCTATAGGCGAATAACACATCCAATTATGTATACCAGTGCGATATACTATTTCTCACTCATGATTATTATAAAAGTAAAAAATATAAAGCAGTATTTAACATTATAGATTGCACTTTCCGATATAAGACTTCTATCCCGCTCATATCGAAGAATAGTTCAGAGGTTGCCAGAGCATTTAGAAAAGTATATGGTAATTGAAATAATCCATTGATCTGGCCAAAGCTTCTGCAATGTGATAGAGGTCATGAATTTATGAGTGAGACTTTCTGTCTAATGCAAGAGCATGATGTTATAATTAGGGTGATTAGCCCATATAGTCACAGAAGAGTTGCACTTGTAGAGTGTTTCAATAAGACTCTCTCAAAAATTCTATATAAGATCCAGTATGCTGTTGAATCAATATTTTTTGAACCTAAATTAATAAGAGCATGGGTTAGATATTTGCCAAAAGCTATTGATTATCTGAATAACTATCCCACACGTCTTATTCAAGAACTAGAATCAGAAAAGTGGGAGCTTGAGCCAGTGAAAGCTATTGCTTTAGAGTGAGTCAAATCTAGACCATTCACAAAATATAAGCGTCTAGTTGGATAAGATGAAATAAGGTTAAAGAAAGGAGATACCGTCTGCTACCTACTTGCCAATGCAGAATGGAAAAAGGGTATGGAAAACTAGAAGCGTGTAACTGACCCTACATTTAGCCCAAGTCTTCATAGAATTTGAAAAGTTGTTGTTATAAAGAATGAGCCAGTTTTATATTATCTCAGGAGTGATGAACCAAGAGGCACTTCGCATGATAAATTTGCTCCAAAGCGAGAATTTGTAAGAGAAGAACTCATGTTAATAGCTGATTCAAAAAGGGTTAGTCGTCCACCTCAAAGCATATTATCTGTACATATTGCATATACTTTCCTTATCAATAACGAGCTAGAGGCTCTAGAGGAGCGAGACTAAGCCATTGATTATGCCAGAAGACGTGGTGGTCAATGTTTAGGAAGGACTGGATGAATAAATAGTTATAACATATATCTTTGGTCTTGTGAGAATGGTGCGTACTAGTAGGAGTATCCACTAAAATATATCATAAAAAAATTCGATTGGTGTCCTCTATGCCATTATACTTAAGAGCGTAAATGCTGATATATTTTTGAGGATTTGTTAAGCAAGAAATTTCCACTATGTAGGGCTAAGTTCTTAGATGGACTACATTTGGATGAATATAATGAGGAATTGCGTCTTGCATTCGAATTCCAGGGTCCTTAACACTATCACCACAATAGCTTCTACCACTGGGAGAATGAAAATCAAAAATCACAAAATATGCGTGATCAGAAGAAGCAGAATATATGTAAGGACCAAGGTAGATGCCTCATTGAAGTTCCCTATATAGCTGATCTCCGATCCTATATCAAATACACTCTAATCGAGAAAGGGTTCTTGGATAAAGTGAAGAAATAAAAAGGAAGGACTGATAAATCAGTCTGATATTTTTAGTATATCATTATTAATAGTTAGCTTACCATGAAAATAAAAAAACTCAAGCCACTTGATAGACTTGTATACCATATTAATGAGATTAAGGATGGCAAAAAATATAATGAACATTTGAGTGTTCCCCAATGGCCTTTCACTTTACTGATCTGTGACCGTACTAATTCAGGAAAAACTAATGAGATTTTCAATCTCATACTCAGAAATAAGCTTTATTGAATATTTAATAGGAAGAAGGAAGAGACACACTATATCAAGTGTGATGATTTACTACTCATCGACCACCAACTCAAGAAGCTAAAATATATGTACTGTATCTCAAATCAGCATTCCAGATAATTGCAAATAGTCCGAAACCATACCGTGAAAATATTACATTTTGAGCTTTGAAGCCTAATAAAATTCCTAAGGTGGATTCATTTTTTTCAGATAGAAGTACAGCAACTATATTCGAAGATGTATGTGCTGATCTGAAAAAAGTGCAGGAGAAAATCATCCCTTATTTTGTTGAGGAGTAACATTATAACATCAGTTTGATATATGTATCCTAGAGTTACTTTGACTGCCCAAAGATAATACGGAAAAATCTCACACATGTCTGTTTATTTAACAGGTCATGTACTACAGATGAACTAGTCAGAATTGTGCGTCAATATGCTAACGACTGGCATAATGTGATTAAAATTATTGATAAGCATTTATATGAGCAAAAATTTATTATTTTCAATTTAACTGTACCTCATAAGCATCCACATAGGATATGCGTCAGCT